ATTTTTTTCCGCAGTGTTTTGTGATTCAATTATATGTTTCTTTCAGTATATAAAATCAATTTAGTATGTTAAATATTAATGTCCGAAGAGGCATTTAAATCAGACAAAAAGTGGCCCAAAAGGTGAAAGGAAAATGTCCTTCAAATTTATCTCGCTGGCAAAAAAATGTTAGCCCAAGGGTCTAAAAAATCCAATATTCGAGCAAACACATACACGCACGGCAAAAATCGCGAAGACAAACAAAAGTTTCTCCCAAAAAAAAAAAACGAGAAGTGGTGAAAGAAAGTTACACTTTTGTGTAAATTTAATTTTATCTGCGTCCAGGGCGAAACAAATAACACATGGAAGTGTCTCCATTTCTCTCTCTTCGACTCGTGCCTTCTCTTTCCTTGCAGCCATCCCTTTCTATTGCCTCGATTTACGTAGCCCACTGGACAATCGTAAGCAGTCTGGCCACTTTTGCGGGCGATTGTCAAGTCCTTTCGGTTTTTGGCATGACATTTTACCGGATATATTTTGGCACTGGCCAAGGTCACGCCCACATTTTTTTTATACGTACAAACCACAGGCGGGCAAAGGTTAATGCAATTAGCCTTTTGGAAATAGTCAAAAACCGAAATGGAAATAAACCTATTCAATTTATAAACCTTAATATTTTTTATTTAATGACAATCAATGTGGTTTTTCCTTGCGACTTTCAGGAAAATCTTTTTAAAAAGTTTTTTATTCATTATCTGACACCTGAAATTTAGTGAAATGAAAAAGATGCTGTCAACGTGAATGGCAACCCACGAACAGGAATTTTTTGCTTCGGGGTTAATTAACTTTAACAATTTTGGCAAATTATGAAAATAAATATCTTAGCTGTAAAGAAAACTTTTCAGGAATTTCGCAAATTCTAAAAGGAAATTATGGAACCCGTAAATGTGGTTAAAGATTTTATTCTGACAAAAGCCGCAAATGCAGCTTGCCAAAGAATTTAAAATTCAAATTGAATTTACAAGATATTTGCAAAGAATTTTTCAATGTTTTTCTACCGCCTGGAAACATTTCACAGAACCAAAAGAAAAGGAATTCCAAGTCTAATGGACTTCAAAAAATACAATGCAGTTAATTTAAATAAAAAAGTTAAAGGAATTGACAGCAACTTGATATAAATTACAAGTCTAACAAAAAGTGGCGATAAACTAAATGATAAATACGTAATTGTTTGGCTATATATTTTTCTATACCAGTTGAACCTCAAGCAGTTGGACTGTTTTTGGCAAATTTGAGAATTTCATTTGGCAAAAGTCAGGTGCTCAACTGCTGTGATGAAAGTACTTAGCATTTTGTATTTAATTTTCATTTCTGCATTTGCATTTCAACTTTTCACTCTCACCACACAAAAACACAGAGGAAAAGCTTCGGGGCGTTCTAAGCACATCCCCATATGTGTGTACAGTTGCGGTCGAAATAAAAGTATTTGTGCACTTTTATTCGACAATATATTTAATTAAAATGAATGTGGAACAAAGAAATCATATTTCAATTAAATTAAATTTTATTTAATATTGTTATTAGCAGTACGTAAGCAATTTAAAATTGAAATTTAAATCCGCTTATACATTTTTGTCAGCTAAAATATACAAATTGAACGTTGGATTTCTTTGTGCGATAAGTTGATTATTATATAACAAAAAAAAAATGCTTTCATCATTTTCGAAACTTTGTTTAAAATGGTACTATTATTTGTGGCGCTGGTGTTTGGGCAGCAGAGAGATGGGAGCAGTTGATGTGTCATAAAAACTATTTTCCATTGAAATTTTGTTACACGAGACAAAAACGGAGTCAAAGTAATCAGGCCCCGGGTGGGCAGGTGGGGGTTAAGGCCCTGTACCAACGACAGTTTTCGGACAAATTGCTCGGCATGGGTTAAGTGCGGGGGTGTCGAGTTCAGGTCGGCGAAACTTTTTACGGCCGAACATGTCCGGGCATGCAAAACATTTGAAAATGTTAATTAAATTTCTCCGTACACTACGTCTTCTAATTGGCTGGGAAATTGGCATCGAGGGTCGGGCGGGAAAAACACGTTTTCCCAGGCCCACAATTATATTTTTGGGCCACTAATCAGGTTGAGCTGTCCTTCTGCGATTAATTAATGCGAAAATTTCGTTGCCACTGCAATGTATTCCGATTGTTTGTGCCAAAAATACACACTAATGTAATATAGAGCGATCTATGTACTGCCTGCAGTGTGTACACATGTATGTATTGCTTATTATTTTAATTTCGGCAATTGTTATTGTTATAATGGCCAAATATAATTTGTGCAGAATCGAAAATATTTCGTGCATAAATTAAATGCAATTTATGCCAAAAGTTCAATGGAGGAAGGAGACTAAATAAATCAAATTTTTGACCATTGGTTACTTGGAATTTTCACACAAATATTAGTGATTTTCACTTTGAATTTAAAAGACTTATATCCAAAGTTAAAATGTTTGCTCCGGCAAAATGTTTTTATCATATAATTTGGTATTTACAGCTAAAATAGTTTAGAGCCCTAAATAGTTTGTTTTATTTTTTGTTCAAGTCATTTTGTTTCTAAGTTTTAATAGAAAAAATAAATTTCCATTTTAAAATTTCTTGGTGGGCTTGGAAAACTTCCTCAAACCGTTCTCAGTTTTAATTATGATTTTGTTTTAAATATTTTGCATTAATTTAGTAAATAAATAAATAAATAAAACATACTATACGACTTTGTGTCGCCTTGCACTAAAAGTTAATTATTTTTATGATCGGAAATATCGTTGACTGCAATTAGAACAAGTGGCCGGGGCCTCACCTGATATTTGTTTTTTTTTTTTCCGCCGGCCACTAAGTTTCAAAGGACGAATCTTGGGAAATCCATGGGAAATCCAGCATTTTCCCTCTGCGCAGGACGTTGGTCAAAGGATTTTATTAGTTTTTCGTTTATTCGCCGGCTGCCTTAACTTTTCCGCTTTCGCTCCTTCTTGGCCTGTGTAATTTCTTTATATTTGTGGCTTTTATTACCCGGCCACACAGGACCAAGTCCGAGTCCTTGTTGTTTGCCGTTCGCTGCCTCGTTGTTGGTTTTGCTAATTTTTATTTATGTTCTTAAATGCTCCTTGCCGTGCCAACGGGCCACGCATTTTTATTAATTTTATTTCAGCGTGATTATTGTGATTAGTTTGCTTGCTCCACTCACCTCTCTTTCCCTTCAGCCGCTTTATTTATTTGTGCGACGACTTTGTCGAAGTAATTTTCATAAATATTTTCCTTTATTTTTTTGGAGAGGGGACGCAACAGGGGAGTCGCCACTTTTTGTTAGCCGGCGGTTTATTTGGATTAATTAAGACAAAATCCGTTTTCTGGCATCGAAGGAAATTGGGCCTAATAAATTTAATTAGCATATCTGTATGTATGTGCTTCAACATTGCGCTGGGAAGATATCGAATGCTGGGAATGTTTCTAATTTAAAATGCCTTAAACATTTTGATCTTAATTTTGATTATGTTATCAAGAGCCAAGGCTTGTTATTGAGTAAAATTCAGTGGGTCTGATTCCGGTCAATAGGTGTATCCTTAATGATTTATGCCGGCCTCAACAAGTTGCTGACCTATAAACTTAAATATCGTACAATGAAAGGGTTAGGAAAAAGGGAAGTGGAAAGTGGAAAGTGCATTAGGCCAGCGATGAAGCCTATTTTGCGAAAAGTAAATCGCCTCAATTTCCACCTTTCAACATGTCTCGACATGTCCGTGCTCTTCGTCCTGCCAGTGCGTGTGCGTGTGTGTGTGTGTGGGTGTGCTAGTGTGTGTTTCTCTGCGAGTGTGTGTGTGCGTGCTGAGTAGGCTCTTGAGCCGCACAACACTTCCGGTTGCCACTTGTGAGCGAAAAGCTTTTCAGCCTTTGAGTGTTTTTTGTGGCAGGAACGAGCAGACATTCCAGACATCCCCTACCACCGATTTTCCTTTCTTTTTTTTCCAGTGTTTGTGTGTGTGCTTGTCGCCCAATAACAAAAAAAAAACAAGAAAACTGGGGGCATTTTCAGACTACCACGTACCCTAAGGTATATTTATATTTGTGTAATTTCATTGTTTTTAGCTTCATTGTTTTTAGTAATATTGAATATAGAAATCGAAATAGTCGTTTTGTAATAACTTAAAGGGTATACAAAACTTCGGCCTGCCGAAATTTGCTTCTTTTCTTGTTTGTTATAATCAGGTTGATTTGGAAAAATTAATTTGTTGACCGACATTATTTTCGGTTTTTGCGAAAATTGGGCAAAACTTAAATTTATCAGCTGTGAAATTAAATTACTGTTTAAAGCAATTAAACAGTAAGCACTATGTACTATTATATTACTTGTTTAAAGGAAACTAATAGGAATAAAATTGGACACTTTTTCAGCCCGAAATTCGGAAATTGGACAATACCAGGGAATAATTTTGGGTCGTTCGCTCAAAAGGTTACACATGCCCATTGAATTTCCCAAGAAATTTCTACAAATGTGATTTATGATCCGAATGAATCATGGATTCTAGATTCTGGAAAGCCCAGTAGATAGTGTCTATCAATATATTAGCGCACATACAATCTCAAATAAACAAAGCAGAAGATTATTTTCAGATTGTAAATTTGTTTTCGAAGAAGTATGCAATTATCCCGCTGTTTTTTTGGTTTCCAAATGACTTAAAAAACAAATAAAAACCATTGGTATTCTGCCAATAAACTAATATAAAAATAAAATAAAATAAGCGATAAGAACATAAGCTCATTTCCATTTTTATGGTCCATACATATGTATACATATGTACGTATAAGGTGATCTGATTTCTTCCGATTTTTGGGCAACGGACCAGAGATTAGAAAGACCACGTCCCATACATGCGGAATATGAATGTTCACGGGACTTATCAGCAATATTTTAGACTTCGTTGCTTCTTCAACTTATAGCTACATTTTAGTATACTTTATAAATTCGATTAGAGTAGATGGAACATCTTAAGATGCTGAGCCTATTATCCTATTTGCTTGGCTTATTAATTTTTCCAAGTGTACAAGGAGGAATTGGGTTCAATTCAAAGGATCAGTCGTTGTGCGTTCTCCAAGATGAACCAAGACAGTGTGGCTCCTTTTGCCTGGCCGCTCTCAACCCGATATTCGACGATACTGATAGTATGCGAATGACGTTGGATGAAATCAAGGCAGAACTGAAGGCCGGATTCGATTCGAGACTCAAGCTGGCGGAAGAACAACATATGGCGGTGAATTCCGAAATGAAGAATCAACTGCAGGAACTTAAGAAAAAAATGGAGGGCCAGCACACTGGCCTTCAGGAATCCGTGAGCAAGATCATCACAAAAGATGACTTCGCGAATTCAATTAAGGCTCTGCAGACCAAGCTGGATTCGAGATTGGACAGAACGGAGGAACAACTTAGGACGGTGAGTTACTTATAGAGAGACATCCTTTCGCGTTCGTATCAGAAGTGCTTATCTCTGATTATATGTAAATTGCATCTAAAGAAAACACAAAAGTAAGAGTTTTTTAGCCCATTAAATAAAACTGCACAACAATTGTCATATTGCATTGTTTAGAGCTTTATTAGGTAATATTCAAATTTCTATCCTAGCATTTATTTTAGCTTCGAACTGACGCTGACATTTCTCGGCGTATTTAGAAGTTGTCCGTTTTTTTTTGGTGTAAGCTCAATTTAGATTTACTACATTAATCAACTTATTAGAATATTGAAAACGAATGCAATGATTATTATTTTATCGCCTATTTTAAATTATTTTGTACAGATGAAAATAACAGCCAATGCCAACGATGAACTCAAACTCCAAGTAACTACTTTGAAAGATACAATAAAAGACTTACAGAGTAAGTTAAAAATATCCGAAGGTCAAATCAAAAGCAAAGAAGATATTTTAAAGGTGAAAGAGGGGCAAATCAAAAGCCAGCAAGAACTCCTTAAAAATAGAGATGAACAAATCTCGGACTTTAGGACTCAAATTAAAGCGATTGAGAAAACAAAATCAGAACTATCTAGTCAGCTTTCGGAATACCAAATAAAACTCAGGGAGATGGAACCATTTAAGGTGTCATGTGCGTCGTCTCCACCTGGTTGGACTGTAATTCAGAGACGCATTGACGGATCTGAGAACTTCGAGAGAAAGTGGCATGATTATAAATCTGGATTTGGGAATGTCAGGGGAGAATTCTTCATCGGGCTGGAAAAATTGCATCGGATGACTGAGGCACGACCCCACGAACTCTTCATTAAACTTGGGCTGGTTAATGGATCCACCAGTTACGCTCACTATGATGACTTTATGATTGGGAGTGAGGAGGAATTGTACGAGTTGAAGAATTTAGGGAAATATTCTGGTGAAGCCGGAGACTCCCTCGAATTTAATAAGAACCAAAAGTTCTCCACATTTGATCGGGATAATGACAATCATAAAGGAAATTGTGCCTCTAGATATGGTGCATGGTGGCACAATAACTGTGGATCTAGGTATACCTGTTTATTTATGCTCTGCTTAAATCTTCTTACTATAATCACTTTAAATTACAGTGCGCTCAATGGAAAATACTTGAAAGAAGGCAAAGGTATAGGAATTCATTGGGGCTCATGGCATAAATTCATAAATAATATATCACTGAAGTTCGTTGAAATGATGATAAGGCCCAAGTTCTTATGAGTCCCACTGTTTAAGTATAAAATATTTGGATTTTAATAAAAATCACTAAATCTATACTGTACTCCTAATGGTGTCTGGTATTAATTTGTTTTCATTTGATAAACTGGGAGATTTGATAAAGTGATTGAGATTATTTTACAACTGATCTGTGTATTTTACTTTTCATTCGGATGCCGTTTGTAATCGTTATTAAATTACGTATTTTAAAAGATTGTATTGAGTCATTATGTATGTAAAGGAGAATGATCTGAATAAGAGTACTTTCCAGCCTGAGGACTCTATTATTCTTAGCTCCGCATGTTAGAGGTGGTTGCAACCCAAAGGGCAAAGTCAAGGCAACGATTGCACTTCTGCTCTGGTGTTGAATGTGATTCCCGAAATCGATTCAAATACCGGAAGAAGGTGTCTACAAACATACTTGCGCACAGTAGCATCTTAAGATCATTCTGCGGTTCTAGATTATCAGCTAGCTATAAATAAGTACATAAGTACGAAACGAGTGCGATAAGCGTTCGCTTTTTATACTCAGGGGATCTTATAATTCAGGTCACAAGTTTGCAATACTATACATTTCTGACCTTATACACTAAAGGAGCAGTTATTCGCGGATCGAAAATAAATTACAAAATTAGTTGTGAGTTTATCAATCGTATTTCTACATTATTTCACGACTTGTGGGCGTTAGAGTGGGCGTGGCCTAATAGTCCGAGAAAAGTGTAAATACTCTACGAGTAACGGATATAAAACTGATAAAATTCTGTCCAGCTGCCCGAGATTTTCTTTAGGTTGTGGTTTTGGAATCTGTATTTCAGTTGGCATCCACTTCTTGACTTTGATACTCTGGGCTCATTGTCTTTTCTAACTCATCTTGAAAATGTTTTATATAATAGTAGGTTTTAACTAGGTTTATTTATTTAATTTGGTCCAAACTTCGTCAAAAGAATGACTATTTTGTGTAGCTGAGGGCATACACTATCGATGTCCAAATTATTTTTTTACGATTTTAGCATTTATACAAGGTGTTTTGGATTCTTGTTTTTTGCGATAAAATTGGTCCAAAATACAATGTTTTAGCTCGGAATTCCAATGAAAATGTTGTAACGAATTATTTACGTAAAACCGAAAATCGAGTTGCATTTTTCCGAACTTAAGTATTAAAAACATATTTTTAAAAACTCATATTTTAAGTTTTTTTTCTCATTTTTTATTAGGCTTTGGCTTGCCGAAGTTAGCTTCCATTCTCGATTTATTTACTTATTCTTTTTTTTGTGATATTGGACCAAAGTGTTTTTATGGCCAATTTGACGAATGACCCCCGATGGAATGGGTTAAGTGGCAATACTCTGGTGGTCGTGGAATATTGGAAGGTCGAATCGACCGATTTTTGCCTAATTTATTCGCTCGTATCGCTCATAAATAAACGAAAATTGGTTCAAAGGGAAGAGGCCAGAGTTGACTTATTGAATTTGCCTAAACGGGGAGAGAAAATAAAAGAAAGCCTGCGAGGCCGCCACTAAAAACATAAGAGCAACGCATAATCATCATGGGGGAAATGGCTGAAGGTCGTCGACCGGGGGGCTGTGGGCGTGGCCGGAGGCGGGGGCGGTGGCGGGTCCTAGGAAACGCCTTAATGCCCCATCTAATGGTGCAAATAAATTTCAACTAAGGAATTTTTATAGAGAGAGTCATAAAACCAAATGGCTGCCAATGTTTTGCTTTTCCCCCGTCGTAGTAACGTTAATAGCCTTAATTGAGCGTCTGCCACGCCCACTTATTTGTTTATTAGTGCGCCCATCCCCGAAAACAACACGGGGAAAATGTGCGGGGGAAAAGCATCATGCTGGAATTTTCATTTGTCGTTGACAATAAAAAGACGTGGCCAAATAGGTAGTTTGCACTAAGGGAAAACATATTTGGAAGAAAAATTATAATACTTCTTGTAAATATATTTATTTGACTCAGAGGAAATATTGCAATAAAATATTAAACCTCTATTCAATGTTTACTAAACAGAGATATTATTTTGAAGTATTAATAAACGTATTTAATGTTTACATAGCAGTGATTTTACTGTGGAGTATAATATTATTATATTAATCCCGATAAAATCAGTAAAAAGACATTTAAGCTTGATAAAGAAATCTAAAAACATTATGAAATCATTCAATTGAAGCAATCATTTTTTCTCACTGCACTTGAGTCGGTTTTTCTTACAAATTTCCAGCGTTCTCAGATTCCTACAGCTTTCGTCAGTCGAATTATTTTCCACCTGGAATTCGCAGGTATATTTTTTAAAGGGTCCTTGCCACGCCCACCCCACATAATTATGAGTGTGTGTGTGTGTGTGTGTTGAATCTTGTGCTGCGGGTCAAGTTTAAAGATTCAATTTCCGAGGCAGCGGGAAAAAATCCATTAAAATTGTTAAATGCACCGTTGGCAGTTTTCCACATCCTGTCTTCTTCTTCATCGCCATTTCCTTTGCACTAATTTGCGTGTGTGTGTGGGTGCGACTGTGTGTGTGTGTGTGTGTGTGTATCCTGGCCGGTGAGGTGTAACGATGTCGCCTGAAGTATGGCGCTGCAATTTGCTCCGAGAGTCAAATGGATTTGACCTTAGCCACATGGGCGAGGTGAGGGGGCGGTTGGGTGGTTGGGTGGTTGGGTGGTGCAGTATGCTGGACCAGCACTAATGCTTAAGCTGATTTTAACAGACACACACACACTCGCAAACACCCTCAAACACACTCACATCGCGGGCAGACTTAATTTGCAGACAGAGCGCAAAAATTTCTCGAGCACTTTGGCACAGTGTGGCAAGTCGGAAAATTTGTGTAATATTTCAGGAACACAAGCATTACAAAAATGAACCAGATATTTATCTTGACATGTTTTCTACCAAAACTAAACAAGCCTGAGAAAAACTTTCTCTTGAAAGAAAACTTACCTTTTGTTATTAACCCATATTTTTTAGAAAAAACTATATTATTAAAAAAGGAAGACCAATACAAATTTTGAATGGACAGTTCTAAAGTTTTGTTTTCATATAATAGAAAACTACCTTTGTAAGACTCTCTTTTAATTCTTTAATCATCAAAGAATTCCATTTTCATTACAATAAAATGGCTTTCACAAAATATTGTATGTAAGTAAATAAAAGGCCCTGTTTTTCCGACGATTGCGGACAGTGGGCAAGTATCACGTAATGCAGCGCGGAAAGCGCATTAACACATTTACACGACAAACACACACATGCAGGTAAAAAAAAAAGCCGAAAAAGACATTTTTTGGATAAAAAAAAAGGAAACACGCGACACGCTTAAAAAATCTTTGCAACTTTCTTTCTGCGCCAAAAGCTGCAAATTTCATTTCACACCCAAAAGACCCCAGACATGCCAAACGAATAAAAGAGACGGAAGTAGAGGAGTGAAAAAGACGGGTAGAGGGCGCCAGAGGGAGAGGGCAGGCGAAAAAAAGTGCATGGCCACGAATTAAAAAGGTCATTTGGTCGCACTTTAGACAGTTTTTCCCCCCACTTTTTAGGTTATTTTTTCACAAGCATCGCACAGTGGATAAATAGGGGAGTACGGGGCGGCATAAGGATATACCTTTCGGTTTGGGGACTTGTAAAATAACTTTGGCGCCTGTCCAAATGAGCAGCCCAGCGGCGCGTGGCGAATCCAAAAGGGAAAGAGCAACGGGTCAGAGGTGGAAAAATGGGTAAAACCAGGCGGAGAAAGGCGGGGAAAGCGCGGAAAATCAGGTGAGTCCCACACAAAATAGAGAGGAAATTGCTAAGCCCGGGAAGCTTAAATCTTCCAAAATAAGTTAATTCAGGAGGCCTTTTGCCGAAAACAAAAATTACAGAAGTCGCTCAATTAGCAGCAACTAAAACTGCATCTAATTTCGAAGCCAACAAGTAAATTAAGTAGACAAAAGTTACTTACTAAACTTATAAAGAATCGGTTTTCAAAACATTAAATTTTCTTAAAACGAAGAACCGTCCTTTTTCTTTATATGTAAATTAAAAGGTATTTCCCCCGGCCTTTTCCATTGAAGTGTTGGCCGTAGGTAGATTTTACTGTTCCCTTGTTGCCAGGGCTATGGAAAAAATCCGTTTAGGGACAGTAAGCCCCAGCAAAGTGGAACTTTGATGCCGCTTTAAAGTGCATCAAGAATTAACAAAAAGAAATGGTGGGACGGCAAGGGAATAAGTCCCAGTAAAGTGGAAAACAACAACGTGGGGGTTGGAAAATACGAAGAAAATGCCGGGAAAACCCGGAGCGGAGGAGGCGCTACTGGCGGAAGGATAAACAGGGCTTAGTTGACCAAGTTGGCTGCATGGCGAGATAAGAAAATTGCAATTTAATTAAACTAATTGAAAGACGATAGGCGGCGAAAGGTGTCTCCTTCGGGTTTCTCCAGGGCTTCTTTGCCCCGACATTTCCCGTCCGACTGTAAGTCCTGGCTTCATCCTTATCGCCGCCTCCACACAACCAACAAAAGCAACAATAGGTGTATTGTACACTGGCCAAAACAACTGATAATCGCCAAATCATTCTAAATAATATCCAACATTTTACGTTACAAAAAAAGTTTAATAACAATAAATATTTGCTTAAAAATATTCGGTAACAAAGCAGGAAATGAGTGCTATTTAGCTCGTAATTTTTAGTTTCCATCATCAAACTCTTTTAAATTCTTTTAGAATGAGTACAACAATGTAATTTCAATGTCTTTTTTTCCAGTAAACTGATAGAAAATGTTTATAAAGTAAACCAGAACATAATAAATCGGCAAATTCTCTTGCATTATTATTTTTTTCAGTGTATTTGGTGAAAGGAAAAAAGTGAAGCCATGCAAATTGCTTCTCATCTTGCCATTCGCCTTCTTCTGGACATTTGCATTCAAAACCAATGCGTCGTTGACTTTTGCTTGAGAATGCCAACGAAAGAGAGGGCCGAACTGCGGCGAGAAAGAGACGGCCTGCTGGCAAATGAAAAG